CTTTTTCAGTATCATCTCGTTGTGTCAGTGAGTTACAACACTTATTTCCTCCTTCACACACACAGTAGCTGGTACATGACAATCCATTTGCTGCACAACCACACTTCCTGCTGCAGGTACTCTTGCGTGGTACCACTTCATTATTTACAGTAACTTCCCATCCATAGTTAGTGATTTAGACAGCAGGAGGGTCAGCCTTGTCCGCAGCCTTCCATAGCATTCCAACTGGCAAAGCCTTCTTCCTACATTTATATGGCCAGAAGAAAAGCACGTCAATGAATGCTTCCAGGTACGAGATTTATCGCAAGCGAAAGAATCCTCTATCCGAGTCCCTTCCACCAACAGACATCAACCTGGGACTCCATATCCGAAGAGCACAATCTCCAAATGATGCTATGGAAAGCTGCGGACAAGACTGACCCTCCTGCTGTCCAAATCACTAACTATGGATGGGAAGTTACTGTAAATGATGAAGTGGTACCAGTGCTGTCAAAAGAACCTACCGCACCAAAAAACCTCATGGACGTCATTAGCTGCAGCTGCCGAGCAGAAGAGAATGCCTGCAGCAGGAAGTGTGGTTGTGCAGCAAATGGATTGTCATGTACCTGCTACTGTGTGTGTGAAGGAGGAAATGAGTGTTGTAACTCACTGACACAACGAGATGATGCTGAAAAAAGATATGAAGAGCAGAGGAAAGGAGAGGAAGATCTGGAGACTGGAGAGAATGACCCCAACCACGAAGACGAAGGCGAATAGTAAGTAGTTTGATGGTGTTGGGTGTTCATCTATGTATTCCATGATCTAGCTGCATCATAATATTTAACATTTTCATATATAATAATAACTTACTGTTAAATATATAAGTCCTATAGACGATGGAATCCTTGGTGTTAAGAACATGGGTCTAAACATCAAAACAAAGTCTCTACCTTCCCACAGTTGCTCAGTTATGGTGATTTTACGGTTTACGTCATTATGCATGGCAGCCATATGGCATCGCCATTATACATGGCATCGCCTATGCCCTTCTCCCATTATCTTTCCTAGCATGGCTAATGCCCGTCATGATGGAGCCGGCAATGTTTTCTAAATTAAGTCTCTACAACGCAGCTCAGTTACTATATGGTGTCGTAAGAGTACCAAATTTGGGCATGTGACATCAATTATCAGCGCTCCAAGCGGCGACGGAAAACGATAGCCAGACCCGCAAAAGGCGGGAAGGATAGTGAATATTGTGGATGCGAAGCGGCGTGAGGCCTGTGGGAGGCATGATTACGCTCCAATATCTCGGCCTAAGAGTATCGTAGAGACAAGCGGTTGGTCTTATTTTAGAGAGCAAAGAACTTTGTCTAGAACCGCATACAAAGTAGAATAATATTGCCGTGAAATAGCACTATTTTCCCGTTTTCC